ACTATGTAGACCAGGCTGGCCTCGAACTCACAGAGATCCACCTGCTTCTGCCTCCCAAGTGCTGGGATTAAAGGTGTGCGCCACCACGCCCAGCTATTTTCATTAAAAAAAAATATTTATTATGTGTATGAGTGTATTGCCTGCATGTACATAAGTGCACCCATGTCAATGCCTGCAGAAGTCAGAACAGGGCACTGGATCCCCTGGAACTAGAGTTATGGATGGTTGTTAGCCATCACGTGGATGTTGGGGATCAAATCCTGATCCTCTGCAAGAGTGCTCTTAACCACTGAGCCATCTCTCCGGCTCCTATTACTTTCATTTTTATGCATATGAATGTATTGCCTGCATGTATCTACGTGCACCCGAATTGTGCAATGCTCATGGAGGCCAGAAGAGGGTGTCAGATCCCCTGGAACTGGAGTTATAGACAGTTGTTAGCTGCCATGTGGGTGTTGGAAACTGAATCTGTTTCCTCTGCAAGAGCAGCCAGGACTCTTAACTGCTGAGCCATCTCTCCAGCTGTGTTTTAAAGAAGTGAAGGACTAGCAGGGTACCATAAGCTCTCCTTGACTGGGGAAGCTGTGGCACCACACCTGGCCCCATCATCATTATTATTATCTTTGACACAGGGTTTCACTATGTAGCCCTGGCTGGCCTAGAACTTACTACATAGACTAAAGGCTGGCCTTGATCTCACAGAGATCCACCTGCCTCTGCTTCCTTAGTGCTGAGATTAAAAGTGTGAATCACCCACACTTAGCTCTTGGATGCCTTTATTATAAAAAGTCTATATGAAATGTCTTTTCTATCAATAGAATGAATACAAATGAAAAATATACTTTAAATATGTTTAAAGGATAAAAAAATACATGAACATTTCATAAATATGCAGAATTCTTAAAATTCTACTAAAAATCACTCTGAATTTAACATAAAATAATTCATTTATACCCAATGAATTACCTGATATTAGAAGCATCTATTGTATTCTTGATGTCATTCAATGAATCTGTGAGTGATTTGAATTCAAAGGAATTCAGGTCTCCTCCCTCTGCTAGACACTACAGGGAAAAAAATATTCCAAAATTTAATTGAATTTGAATTTAAATACAGACATAAGTAGCAACAAATTAACATAGTTTGCTTTGTATAAAAACCAGGAAACTAATTTCTCTGAAACTTACCTTAATTTGTAGTAAAATAGCTGTAAGCCTAGAGATTAAGTCTGTCAGATTTTCGTTTTCAACACAGGGCTGTCCTGTAGAGGAGTTGGCTTGCCGGACAATTTCCTGTGCTTCTTCCTCACACCTCCGTCTCATATCTGTTGGCTGGTCTGCAGGCTGGAGCCCCTGGTCTGGTGCAAGCTAAGCAGACAGGATAAAGGATGAGCTGCACTCTGAGAAGGCCCTGGGCACTGCTGTGTGCATGTGTGTCTGGCTTTTAGACTTTGGTATTTAAAATTTTTTTTTTTTGTCTTTTTGAAGCAGGGTCTCCCTGTAGCCCCAGCTGTCCTGGAACTCACTATGTAGACCAGGCTGGCCTTGAACTCACAGAGATCCGTCTGCCTCTGCCTCCCAAGTGCTGGGACTACAGGTATACGCCACCATGCCCGGCGGGTATTTTAATTTGTAATTTAATTTTATTTATTTTGTGTCTCACTGTAGCCCCGGCTGGCCTGGAACTTACTATGTAGACCAGGCTGGCTTGAACTCACAAAGATCTGCCTGCCTCTGCCTCCCTAGTACTGGAATTAAAGTCATGCGCCACCAAGCCGGGTTAGACTTGGATTTTTTTTTTTTTTTTTGTCTTTTTGAAACAGGGTCTCCCTGTAGCCCCAGCTGGCCTGGAACTCGCCATGTAGACCAGGCTGGCCTTGAATTCACAGAGATTCACCTGCTTCTGCCTCCCAAGTGCTGGGAAAACAGGTATGTGCCACCACGCCCAGCCTTTTTTTGTTATTGTTTTTTAATTCTTTTACTTTAAAAAAATTTTTATTTAATAACCACATGATTAGAAGAAGCATTCCTTTACGGCTTTAACATATTCTTTTTTAAAAAATAATTTATTGAAAATTTCATACATGCATATAAGGTGTTTTGATCAAATCCACATCCACTCCCTCTCCTCCAACTCCTCCCATATCTCCCCATTACTTTTTTCTGATAACTTCATGTACTCTTTCTTCTTCATTTATTATTTATTTTTATGGGGCTTTGGGTAACATTCTTCCCTCTGAAGAGGTAACCCTAAAATCCTTTAAGGAGTAGATACAAGCTCCCAAATACATTTGACATTTTTGGCCTTTGGAACAGAGTATGTTGCTAAGAGGCCCAAGGACATTGTGAGTTTTAGGCAAGAAACTGGCTACTTTTCTTTGGGGTCTTTTTACACTAATTGCCTAGCCAATTCCTACCTCCTATTCTTATCACACCATCCTCTGAAGAGGTTACCCAAATTGCCAATAGGGAATCGGGACGCAGACTGCTCTGGCTTCTTCTATGCTGAACACGGACACAGGGTGAGGCAACTGGAATACCCCTTCAGTGGATCTATCTAAAAGACTCCCAAATTGCATAACTCTTATCTCTAAGGGGAAAAGAAAGTCCTTGAATCCTGAATAGGCAATGTGAAGGAGAAGTAAAGGCAGGAGTAATTGGCATTACAAGTTCTAGACAGGGAACTAGAAAAAAGTCAGAACAGGGCAGTTTTCAGATGTTCATATGAGAGTCCATTGGAATTTCTTGACAAGGGCTTCCAAAAGCATCCCTCTATTGGGTTCCTCCTCATTTTTCACTTATCTTTAAGGCTGGACTCTAGAGTGATGGATTCAGGATTTGCTTTCAGGTACTTTGATAGCTGTTGGAGTGGTTAGAATCAGTATCAGTTCCCTCTCAAAGGCTTCCAGATAACTGAGGGGTTGCTGAGGGATATGTATGACCCGAGGGTATGCGCACTGGAAAGCCTTTACCCAAGCATGGGTCAAGCCTTCTCTTCCTAACCTTCCTCAGATTGTATACTTTAGCCCTCCCCAAATCCAGGAGGGCCATGTGTGATTAGGGTCAAATTACATACAGTTGGCTGGGAAGAGTAGCTGGATACTCCAGTAAGGGTCCAGTGACACTACTTGGCCCTTCTTTAATGAATGAGCCCAACCGTCAAGCCCAGTTTTGACAATGTTTAGCAATCAGGCTCAGCTGATTTCATGATGATAGTAGTTATTTCATGCAGAAGAGATTGCTGTATAGCATCATCTTATTAAAAGGACCTGGAATTTAAAAGGATTTGGTGCTAGGA